CCGAAGCCTCGCAGTTTCTGGGGCCTAGACGCGCAGCTCGACGATCAAGGCCGCGCGCATCGCCAGTCCGAGGTCCCACCGCAGGCCAACCGACCAGACCATGCCCAGCGCGGCGGGGCTCGCCAGGACGTAGTCGATCCGCGAAGGGCTGCCGCTGGACGGGATGCAGGTGGGCCCGAGCGCGGCCAGCAAATCCCTCCAGCCAGCCAGGCCGAGCGGGGCGTCTAGGCCGACCTCCGACAGGCTGCAGTCGAAGTCACCAACCATGAAGGCCGGGACATCCCCGAGGCCACGGAGCCACTCCGGCCCCTCCAAGATGAGGTCCGCATGGCGCTCGGAATCCGGGCGGCCGCCCGCGTACCCATAGCAGTTCATGAAATGAATTGCCCTCGCACCGCCAAAATGCATGGCGAAGTGCCGCAAGCGCCCGGGATGCCTGCCAGACACCCCCGCTGGCTCGGATCCGCGAGCCGCGCATGTCCCCAGCCAGCTTGTCGCGGCCAACAATGACGCGCCGCTGCTGCACGGCCCCACGTGCAGCTGCATGCCACGCCCCCGGGCCCCAGCAACAGCAACCTCCGCGTAAGTGGCAGGGATGCGCGCCCCCTGCACGCACCATGCGTCGGCTTTAGCTGCGAGCAGGCCGCGCCAGCTCGCGCTCCAGCGGGTGACGTTCGCCACGAGCACTGTGGCAGTCATCGGCGGCGGCGGCTGCTGCGCCGGAGGGCCGGGGTGCTGCGCCTCTCCGACCCTGACGCCTCGCCATGGGCTCAGCAGCCGGCAATCCAGGGAGGGCCGAAGCAGCGCCAGCAGCCCCGCGACGCATCTGCAGCTCGCACTCGGGCGGTCCCCGCACTCAACCCGGGCGCCTCCCCCCCGCCGCTCGCGCCAGCGGCCGCGCTGCCGGCGGCGCCGCGCCAGCCTCCCGCTGGCCGGCGCGAGCCGCCCGTCACAGACATGCGGTGCGTGACACAGATCTAGAGCCCAACACAGACATCAGGTGCGTGACGCGCAGGAGGTGCGCCGCGCGGGCCAGGTTCGCTCTCGCACCAGGTTGGCCAGGTGCCCGAGGAGCCCAGGCGCGCCTGGTGCGCCAGAGGCGCCGCGGGCTCCGCATTCGCCAAGTGTGCCACGTACTCCGCCCGAACCAGGCACGCCACGTGTGCGGCGCGCGCAGAGCGTGCCAGGTGCTCCAGCACACGCGATAGCACGCATCGGGACACATGTCGACCAACCACCGTCCTTTGAGAAAAAAACCTGCGAAGTGGCCGCGGGGTGGCCAGCATGGTGTATTGTGCGGGCGCCCGCAAGCACCCTTATGGCCCGTGCGTGCCAGACAGTATGTGGGACCCCCCATCACGCGTCCCTGTCAAAAGGCACCGCAACGTGATCGCGCGGCCACATCGCGTCCCCCCGCCCATACGGTCGGGTCGCGTCGTGTCGACCCGCGGCGACCCCGTTGCGGGTGTTCCAACGTTGAACGTCGCCGCCGACCCCGAATCGGGCGATGTTGAACGATCCTGACGTTTCGGGAACGGCTGATCGTTCAAGGTTGAACGATCCCTGCGATGTCGGGAACCAATGCCAGGGTCGACACGACACGAACCTGCTGTATCAGCATACCCTCCACGCGCTCCGTGGCCCGATAGGGAGCTCCGCCGAACGCTCCCAGGGGGTGTGGCCGCATTCCGTTCCCCCGTCCATTCTGGCACACCCCTCCCGCGCTGCGTGGCCCCATAGGGAGCTCCACCGTAGCCCCCAGGGGGTGTGGCCGCACAGCGCCCCCCCCCCCCCCGCGCAGCTCGGCACACCCCTCACGCGCGTCGTTGTCGTTGCCTCATGGGGAGCTCCACCGAGGCCCCCAGGGGGTGTGGCCGCATGGTGCCCCCCGCCCATTTCGGCACACTCCTCATGCACTTCGCGGCCCCATGGGAAGCTCCACCGAAGGCCTCAGCGGCAGGGCATCGCATGCAGTTCCCCAGTCCATCTCGGCACACCCATCACGCGTTTCGTGGCCCCGCGCGGAGCTTTACCGAAGGCCTCAGCGGCAGGGTATCGCATGCGCCCCCCATTTTCGCGTCTCGTTGCCAAATGAGGTTTTGGCTATTTCTTGCGCTACTCACAGCTGCTTTGCGTTGAGCCTTTCGCTGGGCTACCGCTGTGTTTGCTCATTTACTTCTTTTGTATTCAACCCGCAGGCCGAAGTCGAAGTGCCAAGGTGCACGGCGCGAAGCGTCTACGCAGTACTGTATATGATGTGTGTGTGTGTGTATGTGTGTGTGTGTGTGTGCCAACGTTGACCCCAAACCGTGAATTCTTGCATTGATTGTGTAAGCTATGTGGTGCAAACTTTGTGGTGAAAGCTCCGTGATGCAAACTGCGTGTTGCGATATATGTGGTGCAAGCAGCGCGGTGAACGCTATGTGGTTCAAGCGGCCTGGTGAAAGCTATGTGATGACAGCTACGTGGTGTGGGCTGTGCGGTTCAAGCTGCGTGGTGCAAGCTATATGGTGTAAGCCATGTGGTGGCAACACTGAGCTGAACGCAGTGTGGTGAGAGCTACGTGTTGCAATGCGTGCGAGGCACGCTCCGTGCTGCAATCTGTGCGGCCGCCCACGGGGCGCCCACGAGGCGCCCACGGGCGGCCACCAGACGAAACCTCGGCTCACCCACCCGGCGCACCAGGCGCCCGCCAGGCGCACCAGGCGCCCGCCCGGGGCGAGACCTCGGCTCGCCCACCCCGCGCACGCCGCGCGCGAGGGGGCGCCCGCGGGCGGGCGCCGGGCGAGAGCTCGGCACACCGGCCCAGCGCCCACGGGCGGGCACCAGGCGAAGCCCCGGCGTGCCCCCCCCCGCAGCGCGGGGCCTCCACGAGGCGCCCGCGGGCGGCCACCGGTGGGCACCAGCCGAGAAAACGCGGGATGCCCAGCCAGGTATTCCACCGAGGTCGGGCCCCCCTGTTCAGAGCCCCGAATCATCAGGGGTAACTCGGGTCAGGGCTAACTCGGGTTCGTTTTTCGGGAATCCAAACCCGACTTACCCCGGGCCCGAGTTACCCCGGATAACTCGGGCGTCCAGAGCCCCACATCATCAGGGGTAACTCGGGTCAGGGCTAACTCGGGTTCCTTTTTCGGGGATCCAAACCCGAGTTACCCCGGATAACTCGGGCGCCGAACCCTGTGCGCAAGCGCTGGTTGCCTGGGGAGTGCGTCTGCTCGAATGCACTCAGTCTCTGTTTGTAGAGACCTGATCCTCGACAGCTTGTGCACGGACCTGGGCGGCTAGGTCAGGGGCGCCCCAGGAAGGCCCAAGACGGCCCAGCATGGCCCGAGAAGGCTTGAGTATTTCCCGAGAGCCCAAGAGACCCGTCCGCAGTCTTTGTGGCTCAAAGACGCTGGCGCAAACCACCCGTTGCAGCTGAGAAATCCGTCGATGTAGCGGTACATCTTTACATATTCATGGGCGTTCCCCCCGTCCTCGCGAGAGGTGCGCGCCTCCTCGTGCTCGTTTCGGCCCCATGGCTGGTCTCCGTTGCTGAACGGTCCAGGCTGGCTCCGACCGAAGATGCTTCTCATGGCAGTGTGCTCGCCGTGGCTGTCGGGCACCGCCACCAGGAGCTGCTGCCCTTGGCCCTGGAGGCACGAAGAGCTCCTGCCGCTTCCGCGCAGGGAGGAGCTGCTGCCCCTGGCCCGCAGCCGCAACGGCCTCCTGCCGCTGGCGAAGTCTCGAGCTCTCCAGGAGGCACCTCCTCCAACGCCGTTGCAGTCGACGTCTCTGTTTCTGCGTCCGCTGGGCACTGGCACCGTGTGAGCAGCTCAGGGGCCAGTGCCCGCACGGAGACCGAGCGGCCCATCGGGAACGGCGGCCCCGCGGCCGTGCTGCAGGCCGTGGGCGAGCCGACGGCTCTGCTGGAGGACGCGGAGGCGAAAGCCCGCAGTTCGGCAGCACCAGCCATCGAGCAGAGCGGCTCTGAGGCCATGCTCCGAGCCGAGGGCGTCGCTGAGGGATCCGCGCACGCCCGACCCGAGGCGGTGCTACTGGCCGTGGGCGAGCCAGAGGCGCTGCTGCAGGGCGCGACGACGATGGCCCGCAGTCGGGCCGCGCAGACGATCGTACAGGGGGGCTCCGAGACCGCGCTCCGTCCCCTGAGGGAGCTGAGGGCTCGGTTGCAAGACAGAGATTGGAGGGCCCGCAAGTCGGCCGCAGAGGATATTTGTAACGCCGGCGCCGAGGCGGTGCTCCAGGCGGTGGACGAGCTGAGGCCGCTGCTGCAGGATGAGGAGGCGGAGGTCCGCGCCGAGGTCGCACATGCCATCGGGCAGGGCGGCGCCGAGGCGGTGCTCCAAGCCACGGACGAGCTGAAGGCGCTGCTGCAGGACGAGGAGGCGAAGGTCCTCAAGTGGGCCGCACGGGCCATCGGGAAGGGCGGCGCCGAGGCGGTGCTCCAGGCCGTGGGCGAGCTGCAAGCGCTGTTGCAGGGCAAGGAGGCGGAGGTCCGCGCTGAGGCCGCACATGCCATTGGGCAGGGCGGCCCCGAGGCGGTGCTCCAGTCCGCTGACGAGCTGAAAACGCTGCTAAAGGATGAGGCAGCGAAGGTCCGCGCTGAGGCCGCGCATGCCATCGGGCAGGGCGGCGCCGAGGCGGTACTCCAGACCGTGGGTGAGCTGAAGGCGCTGCTGCAGGACAAGGAGACGGAGGTCCGCAAGCGGGCCGCATGGGCCATCGGGAGGGGCGTCGCCGAGGCGGTGCTCCAGGCCGTGGGCGAGCTGCAAGCGCTGTTGCAGGACAGGGAGGCGGAGGTCCGCGCTGAGGCCGCACATGCCATCGGGCAGGGCGGCGCCGAGGCGGTGCTCCAGGCCGCTGACGAGCTGAAGGCGTTGTTGCAGGACAAGGGGGCGAAGGTCCGCGCTGAGGCCGCATATGCCGTCGGGGTTGGTGGCGTCGAGTTGGTGCTCCAGTCCGCGGAATCGCTGAAGGCGCTGCTGCAGGACGAGGATGTGATGGCCCGCGTGGAGTCCGAATATGCAATCGGGCTCGGCGGCCCCGAGGCAGTGCTCCAAGCCATGAACGAGCTGAAGCCACTGCTGCAGGATAAGGAGGCGAAAGTCCGCAGGTACGCGGCAGGTGCCGTGGGGAAGGGCGGCCCCGAGGCGGTGCACCAGGTCATGGACGAGCTGAGGGCGCTGCTGCAGGACGAGTCGGCGGGGGTCCGACAGCGGGCCGGAGGGGCCATCGGGCGGGGTGGCCCCGAGGCAGTGCTCCAGGCCGTGGGCGAACTGAAGGAGCTGCTGCAAGAGACGAGTTCGAGGGTTCGCCAGTGGGCCGCGTGGACCATCGGGAAGGGCGGCCCCGAGGCCGTATTCCGTGCCAGGGAAGAGTTGGAGGTCTTGCTGGACGATCCGGAGGGTGCGATTCGCGAGTCAGCTGCGAGATCTCTAAGCCATGGTGGCGCAGACGTCATCGCCGAGGCGACTGCGCATATTCGTCCCTCGCTGGATTTGGGGAATTATCCGCGCAAAATCACAAATGCTACAGAAGTTGTATCAATTTTGGGCCCCGCAGCCATTGAGGGCATCCTGCCTGCATTGCAACTGGTGCTTCGCCGCGACGTCACCCGTTCGGGTCAGACTGCTGCAAGGCTTCAACAAATGACAATCGCAGCAGCCGCCATCGCCCTAAGAGGGTATTTCGCCTCCCGCCCGATGTTTTTGCATACGGATCTGGCTCGCGACCTGGAGCGGGCGCACTACAATCTCCATCATTTTGTCAGCTCGCAGCCGAACTGGGGAGAACTTGGCGCTGTCCGTGAGGTCGAGAATGCATTGCATGCGTTTGGTGTGTTGGTGGAGGGCAGATGCATGCCTCTACTCCAGGCACAAGTGGGCGAGCTCTTGCTCGTCAGGTCAGGGGCAGTCACAACGCCGACCGGCTACATGGTGGAGTCGGCTGCGAATGCCGCGCTGTCTGACCATGGGTTGCGAGCCCACAAGTGTCCCCACATCGGCGCTTGCCCAGGCGAAGTTGCCAATGTCACGTACACGAACAGCACAGACGTCACCTGCCCACTTGCGCGCAGCGGTGGGGCAGGCGCCCCCTGCAGCAAGGGGTACGACGGCAACGTCGCTGGATGCGCTGGTTGCATAGGAGGCTGGGGTCGATCTCCAACAGATGCATTCACGTGCCAGCGGTGCGGGATTGCTTGGGTGCAGTGGGCGGTCTGGCTGGCCCACCCTTCTTCGCTGCTGGCGATCTCATTGAGGAGCGCTAAGCGCGCAGCTGCGCTTGGTGACGCTGCCGCTTTCGCCAACGACGTCCTCAAGATCGCGCTCTCCTTCAGCTCCAGCTCGGCCGTGATCATCTCGGCGCTGGCTAGTTCGGCCACGTATCGCAACCTGAATGAGCAGACGCGGACCTGGTTAACATGGACATCATACCCCGCTCAAGCGGGCGAGGCGACTTGGTCTTCGAGTGCGGACTGCCTGCTGGGGTGGACTCTGTCACTCAGACAGATGCTTCTGCTGGCGCTGGCGAATCCTTTGATTGTCCTGGCTGCTACCTGCTTCGTGCTGGGCTTCCTTCATATCGTCCGCCGCAGGCAGGGCATGAGCTCTTGCTTCACGGAGGACCTCATGACGGTGGTGGTGGTCGCGGGCAACCAGTATTTGCCGAGCGTCGCCGCGGCATGCGCGATCGCCGCTCCGTGCTACCATACGCAGACGGGCGAGGACGCGTCTGAGGACTTGCTCGTATACTCCACGCGGGAGAGTTGCCATCAGCGCATGTCGTACATGGTCACGCGGGCTCCTGTCCTGACTCTGGCGTTTGCCGCAGGGCCCGCGCTCTGGCGGTGGCTCCTGCACCGCGCTGGCAAGGACGGGAGTGAGCAGTGCCTGCGGTTCCTCACCGCCTCCTATCGTCCAGAACACGCGGGGTGGGAGGCCAACCGCCTTACGAAGAATATGCTCCTCAAGTGCGCCGTGGCGGTGGCCCCCACAACATACTGTCCAGTGCGTCAGCTGATCCTTGTTCTGTGCCCCATGCTCGCCTTCACTACATGGCATTTCAGGATGAACCCGTACAGGTTCAACCTCCTCAACAGTGTAGAGGCGACCTCTCTCTGGGTGTTGAACCTTTGCATGCTGGCCTCCTGCTATGCAGTCAGCGAGTCATGGAGCCTGACCAGTGACTTTGCCGAGCAGCTGGTTATTGGTGTCTACTGCGTACTTGCGATCAACGGAGTGGGGCTGTTCTCGCTGCTTATCTGGGCAAAGGTGGGGCTGTACGATGGGCACCCGATGTTCCAGGAGGCATGACCCGGTCCCTTGAGCACCCTCCGCTCTTCTCGTACTCTTCTCGTCAACTCTTCCTCCCTCCTCTATCCTCTCCCTCACTCTTGCAAGGGCGGATCAGGGAGCTGCGCGGGACGCGCCCGTACCGACATGTGCTCTTGGCCCCGTGCTGTGATCTTGCTTGGTTGTGCTGGCCGCGTTGCAGCGCTCGCTGCTACGCGACTTCGCGGCCCCAGCGGTTGTAAGTTCGTGTTCGACGTTGCGTCTTAAGTGTTTGGTTCATCTGCTGACGATATCAACACTTTGTTCGGAATGGCTTCTCTCAACATTTTGTTGGGCGTTCTATTAGTCCAGAGTGGATGCGCCGCCTGCGTGGCTCGCCATAACATGCCACGCCCTTCTTATGATTGATGCATCGGCCGAAGCTGCGATTGGTACGACTGCATGGCAATCCTATGTCCCGATGCTTGAAAACAGCCAAGACGGGCCACATGCCACATACTTCTAAATTGGCCGCGAGGTGGTCCAACATGACTTTCGATCGTCCAAGGGGATTCGAAGAGAGCCGTCAGGAGGCCCCTCCAGAGGCAGGAATCATTGATTTCCTACACCACGCTTTTGTGAACTTTTGGCGCAGTCGCCTTGTCTGTCTTCAGAGCCTCCAAGGTCTAGGCCCTCAAGCTCGCCCGAGCATGGTCCCCAATGCGACTGAGTCTCACGAGGGCCCCAATACGCCCAATGTATGAGGGTCTCCAGAGTGGCTCCAGGCAGCCAGCGAGAGCCCACGAGCATCCCAGTAGGCCTCCAGATTCCAGACCACACCAAGACAGCCCCAAGATACCCCCAAGACGGCCCAGTAGGGGCCCGAGACAGCCCAAGAGGGCCCTAAGACGATCCAACAGGCTCCCCATATGGTCTCACAACAGTTTTCAAGTGATCCACGGGACGGGCCACCTCACAACACTGGTTTAGTACGGCGCTGGTCAGAAACTCATGTTAGATCCGTCTGCCAATGTGTATATGTGTATATGTGTAGATATGGTAGAACCGCACTGTGCGTATACTTCTCTTCCTCTCCTTCTCTCTCTCTCTCTCGACACATGTCTATTCATGAACGCATGCGTATATATGTTTACATGCACATGTACACGTGTATATAGGTATGTATATGTATTCCATGTCGGCATCTAGGTGGCAGCATGGGGACCCTGACAGCGTCAGAAAAAGGATCCTGGATGAACAACCGGTCTCAGGGAACTGGTCGAGATTTCCACGCGGCTTCGGAGGTTCCAGGAAGAGGAGACGTGACGTTTGTTTGAACAGGTTTCGGCCTTCTGGGGCGCCTGACGCCCTCGTCGCTGCAGCCAGATTCTTCCCGAACTTGTAGCCAGAACTCATCCAAGGACAGGCCTTGGGGGGTGATTTTGATGAGGACGGGGCCCTGACAGATTTTTGATATTAGAACTGTTTGACGCTTCGCGTGTCCCCATTAACCTATCCAGAAACGATCGCCAAGCAAGTTGCTTGGATCAGGGATGTGTGTGGACGCATGTAGTGGAAGATCCGCCCATCGGATCCAATCCAGCATCGCGTCCGTTGCATCCAGAACCGATTCCCAGGCAAGCCCAGGCTGTCTTAGGATCTTCGTAGAGGCCTTCTGGAGCCATCTAGGGGAGAGGGGGGGAAATGAGGGGGAGGAGTCGGAACAGGACGAGGAGGACGAGGATGAGATGAGTATTCTCGGACATATTTTTTGATGTTTTTGGTGCCGTCTTGGGTTCCTCTTGGGGTTCTCTCGGTGACCCTTTTGGCGACATCGAGGAGGATGAGGAGGGGCAGTATGAGGAGGAGGAGGAGGAGGAGGAGGAGGAGGAGGAGGAGGAGGAGGAGGATGAGGACCAGGAGGAGGAGGAGGAGGAGGAGGAGGAGGAGGAGGATGAGGAGCAGGAGGAGCAGGAGGAGGAGGAGGAGGAGGAGGAGGAGGAGGAGGAGCAGGAGGAGGAGGAGGAGGAGGTGGAGTATGAGGAGGAGGATGAGGAGGAGGAGGACGCAGACCAGGGCAAGGACGACGATGAAGACGAGGACGATTAGGAGACGAGTAGGAGGAGGTGGAGGAGGAGGAGAAGGAGGAGGAGGAAAAGGAGGAGGAGGAGGGGCAGGAGGAGGAGGGCAGGAGGAGGAGGAGGAGGAGGAGGAGTTGGAGGAGGGAGAGGAGGACAAGCTAGGTGCGCTCGCGTCATACCTGACGTCCTGCCCGTCCCTCCCATCCCTTACCACGGCGAAGATCTCCTCTCTATTCGCACAGTCGGATGTCGAGCAGGGCAAGGATCGCGTGAGGTTGCGCGATGCATGGTAGAGCACCACATGGCATGGCGTAGAAGAGCACGGCAGAGCGTAACATGCCATAACATGGCGTGGCATTGCGCAGGCAAGCATTACATCAGAACGCATTGCGACGCAAAGTATGGCATTGCACAGCGGCGCAGAACACAACACCGCACAGCATGTGATGGCATGGCGCTGGAGGGTAAGTGGATCGTCTTTGAAAGGTCTGGGCCGGCCTGGAGTCGTGGCTCCATGTCTAGCCCCCTGGGCTCCCCGAAAGGATCCACACAGGGCAAAGGGGTTTCTGCGAGCCCAAAACATCAGCGAATCGGCACCGAATGTGTAATCACCTCCGATGGTTTTTCTAGGGGGGCATTTTCTAGATTTTGGGGCCCGATTGGAATCGCCAGCGCTGCAGCGGGAACACGATCTGGAACAACCAGAGGCGCAGAAATGGGGCCAGCGCTTCAGCGGGAGCAGAACTTTGAAACAAACCTGAACGAAAATCTAGTTCCCAGGAGTTCTGTGTAAAAATTTAGTACGTGGAGGGGGGCCGAACATCTTCCGGACGTCATCAGGGGAGAGAGGATAATGGTATTCATATTATGTAATTGTGGAGGGGGATCAAGAGGAGGAGGAGGAGGAGGAGGAGGAGGAGGAGGAGGAGGAGGAGGAGGAGGAGGAGGAGGAGGAGGAGGAGGAGGAGGAGGAGGAGCGGAGGCGGAGGCGGAGGCGGAGGAGGAGGAGGAGGAGGAGGAGGAGGAGGAGGGGAAGGGAGGGAGGGAGGGAGGGAGGGAGGGAGGGAGGGAGGGAGGGAGGGAGGGAGGGAGGGAGGGAGGAGGGGGAGGAGGGGAGGAGGAGGAGGAGGAGGAGGAGGAGGAGGAGGAGGAGGAGGAGGAGGAGCAGGAGGAGCAGGAGGAGCAGGAGGAGCAGGAGGAGGAGGAGGAGGAGGAGGAGGAGGAGGAGGAGGACAACGAGGACGAGAACTCTTGGAGCCTTTTTGGAGTCTTCGGGGCCTTTGTGGAAGGATCTGGGGTCTTCTTGGGGTCCTCATGGGGCTCTATTGAGGTGTCTTGGGGCCCCTCTTGGGGGTCTTTTGGGAGCCCTGGAGGGCCTCCTGGGCCACCTCGATCAATGGAGGGGTGATGGTCTTGGATTTGCCTCCCCCCTCTGGGGCCATGAAAATCGCTGTCTGCAGCGCACTTGTGCGCTCTCGGGGCCGTCTTGAAGGCCTCTTGGGCCCCTCTTGGGGTTCTCTTGGGCCATCTCGGGGCCATCCTGAGGCCTCAGAAGCCAATCGGAAGCGAAAAGGCGAGAATGTAACAATCACATAATTCCCTTTGGTCGTTCAAGCAATTTGGTGTCTTGGGGGGGGGGCTCCGAGAGCGTTTGGCACCATACTGTGGCTCTCTTGGGGCCTCTCGGAGGCATGGTGGAGGCCGTCTTGAACCATCCTCGGCTATCTCGAGCCATCCTGGCGGCCACCTTGAAGCATAGGGGGCCCTCTTGGAGCTACACATCCCGTGTGCAGCTGCATGCAGCGCGGGGGCTCGTGCCGAGGGCCACTCGTGCGTACAGCCGAGAGTGTAAGCTGCACCCCCCCCTACCCCCTGCGCTCGCCGCTGCTCGGAGGCGGGGCTGGCCTTGGTGGCCGCCGCCGCGGCCGGCGTCCCTGCGGCGCTGGAGCTGCCGGGGCTGTCGGGCCGGACCTTCGCGCAGACGATGCTGGAGGAGCAAGCGTCTGCCAGATTTGGGGGGCCGGATGGGCCAGAGTTCCTCGTGCTCGCCCCTTCCAGCGCCTCCTCGCACCGCCCCGCGCCTCCTGCCTGAGAAGATAGGGCCCCCTCCCCCATCGCTCGAGCATCCCCTTCCTCATCCTTGCCATCCTCCTCCCTGCTCTCTCCCTCCGCTTGCTCCCCTCTCACCTCCTTTGACTGACTGCAGGGGCGCTGCCGTTGCACCGCTCCGTATCCTCTGCGGCGGTGGTGCCGACCATCCCCGCCCGCCTCCTCCGCGGTGTGGTCGAGGTGGCCCCGCGGCGGCCAGGGCGAGCCTGACGCCGCGCAGCAAAAAGTGCCTCGGGCCTGGGAGTCGTGAAGCAGTCGTGGCGGCACTCGTCGTCCCGCCTGGGGCCCAGGAGCACCTCGCGGATCGGTCTTTGCCTGGCAGGATGCCGCACAAAGATGAGGTCGTCAGATCCGGTATTTCTTTGGGCTCCATGTTCGCCGCAGCTGCTTATCGTCAGTTGCCCAGTCGCGGTCTGCTTTGAAGACGTCGCACTTCGAGCAGGAGGCAGGGTGTAGGATTTGGGGGGGAGATGCCTGGCCCAGGAGTGGCCGGCCGGAGGTGGGCCTGCCACGCCCAGGTGCCTGAGGTTTCTCTCTCGGCGGCGCCCCTGTCCCAGGACTGGACGAGCGACTTCCAGTCCGGGGAGATCTGGGAGAACATCTGCGCGGGGAGCCGTTGCCTGGAGCTGTTCCTGGGGGAGGCCTCGGGCAAGGTGAGGCAGATCAGCGACTATTTCGAGCCATACTACCATGAGGCCATGACCTTCCCTGCGCTCAACCTCCTCGGCGCAGAGGCTACGCGAGTGCTGGTCTTGGGTGGCGGAGACGGCGGCGTGGCAACGCACGTGCTGAAGTATGGTCACGTCGCCGCAGTCGTGAACGTCGACATCGACGCCACGGTCACCAAGGCTGCTAGAAAGTGGTTTCCTGCGGTGTCCGCCTCGTTGAATGACCCACGCTTTGAGATGATCCACGGTGATGCTTTCACGTGGGTGCAGGAGGCACAGGGCCAGCGCCTGTTTGACCTTATCATCCTGGACTTCACTGATGAACCCCTCGAAGGCGCGTGGTCCAATGCATTCTTCGCCAGCCTTAAGGGTCTATTGAGACCTGGAGGTGCGGTGGTGCACAACATAGGTACTATGCTCACACCAGGAACGGTGCGCCGCTTATTCAAGCTCTACGGCACCGCTTTTCAGAAGGTCTGGCCGATGAGCGCTCAAATCCCAGACTATGCAGCACCTTATATATTGTTCTTGAGTTCTGACTCATTAGAACAATTTTTTCCTGACTGGTCTTTTTGGGAGGCGCAAGGGATATCGGCCAGGTACTACAGTCCGGATGTGCACAATGCGCTCTTCGCACCGCCAGCTGACCTGGCACAACTTTTGGGCATCATGCCAGACAAGGCGCGCAACCAGGAAACCATTCCAGGACAGGTAACCGACAAGGTGCTGGTCGATAAAGAAACAGCTCACGGGAGTCTCGTGGTCCAGCAATCTGACTGTGTTTGTTACAGCAAGGGGAATCCTTGCGTTACGATTCAGCACGATCGCGAGATGGTGCTGACCTGCTTTACTGCCTATCGCGACGAGGTAATGATCATGCCTGCAATGAACCTTTTGGGTGAGCAGGCGCGACGTGTCTTGCTGCTGGGTGGCGGCACTGGTGGGCTCGTAGCGCAGGCTGTGAAGTTTCCTGCGCTGGAGCGGCTGGTTATGGTAGAGATCGAACCCGACGTTGTCGCAGCTGCGAGGAAACACATACCTGGTCACGATGCTGCTCTTGCGGACCCCCGCGTGGAGATCGTGTTCGAGGACGCGCTGCGGTGGCTGGGCAGAGACACGGGGCAGTTCGATGCACACCGCTTCGCGGGAACATGTCTGGACGGACACACCATGCATATCATCTCCTCTCCAGATGATCGGACCAGAGCCTGTCCGGTCATTCTGGTATGTCTGGTACATGTTTCCCACGTGGTCTGCCGAATCGGTCAGCGATATGTCTGTACTGCCTGCCTGGGGCATCTGCTTTGTCTGCCGTCCTGCCTGGTCGGTCTGTAGTTCTTGCCTGCATGTGTGTCCTGTCTCTCCAGCCTATCTGGTTTTGTCTGTCAGGTCAAACTATAGCTGGCCTCTCCCCGTCTGATCTATCCAGTCGTCTGGTTTGGTATGGCTTATCTGCCTGCTCTGTCTGGTCTGCCTGGGCTTATCTGTATGATGTGATACTTCTTGCCTGTCCGGAAAAAAACTCGCCACGTGGGTCTTGGCTTGGCAAGCCTTGATTGCCTCGTCTGTATTGTCTGTATGGCTTCTTCTTGTCTGTCTGGTCTGGCTTGTTCTGGTTTGGTCTACGCTCGAATGTCACACCTGTCACTTTTTCGTCGTTTGATTTAAGTCTGTCTGGTTGGTCGGGTATGTTCTGTCTCTATGATCCTGTCTGCTTCGAGTCGGCTGCCTGATATTCGTGGTCTGGCCCGTTCGGGTCAGCGGACCCGGTTTCGATGCACAAGCCGTGCCCCTCTCTGGCCCACAGGGGCCTAGCCCGCTCCGCGATCCCAAACGATCCGATTCCGATCCGATTCCGAGCCGATCCAGGCGCGCTCCGATTCGCTACCGAGCCGATCCGGTCCAGCGCAGGCCCGGCAGACGTCTCACACGCCGCTGGCCACAGTGGGGCCGGCGAGTCTGGTGGTTGTCAACCTCGTGGACGCATACTGGAGGCCCGCCTCGCAGACCACGCGGGTGCCGCGCACCCTCGGGTTCGTGCGCGCCCTGCGGGACGCCGTCGCCCCGAACGGCATCGTGGTACAGGAGGTAGGCACCGTGCAGACGCCCCTGGAGGCGCTGCGAAAGCTGGATCTCCATCGGGCCGTCTTCGGCTCCGTGTGGCCCATGACCGGCTCCGCGCTGGACAATGACCTGCTGACTTCGGACGAGCTCGACGGGCGCTTCCGACGGCCTCCGCACCTCTTCGCGATGAGCTCGCCGCGGCCAGACCTGCTGCCCGCCAGCGACCTCAGCGTGGACTGGGCCCGGTGGGAGGCCTCTGGGTGCGGGAACCCGTGTGACGAACGGACAACACGCACCCATACCCATAGGGGGGTCGTTGGGAGCAGGACTGGCTATGGGTATGGGTGCGGGTTGTCGGACCCTGGGGAACGCTCCCGTTCGAGCGGGAACCCCATCCGACAACACGCACCTATAGCCCTCTCCGATCCCCCTATGGGTATGGGTGTGTGTGTGTGTTATTGGTTCGTCACCGTGGCCTGTTGGACCCGGGGGGCCACTCTCCGCCAAGGGCTGCGGATGCACCACCACCATCCCTGGGCCCCAGGATGGCGTGCATGCCCTCCTGGCCTCGGCGATGAGGTTTGTACACCTCTGGAGGGGAAAAGCACAGGCACAGGGAATCATCGAACCTCAGGAAAGGAAGTATGGGAAACTATGGGAAGTGCGGAGGAAGTCTACCATCCCGAAGTTATATGATAAGATGGAGAATCCTGGAGCTTGTGTATATTTATTTATGTGTCCCTGTGCCCCTCACCATCCCTCGGGAGCCCAGGGTAGCCCTGGCCAGGGATGGCGGTGGTGTATGGCCGCACGGCGGTTGAGGAGCAGCCCCGTGCACTCTGGCAGCTCGTCTGCCCGGGAGCCGCGAGCTCTGTTGGCTTGGAGGCGTCGGTCGTGGGCGACAGCATATCCGTATCCGCGGCCTCGCGGGCCGGGCCCCCCCGGGCCGCGCCCCCGCGGATGACCGGGGCTTTTCTTCCCCGGATGCCTCGCGCGGAACGTATCGCGTGCGACCGCCTCTCCGCGGGATCGTGCCCCAGGATCCGGGCCGCGAGGGCGCGCGGGTGCGGGCAATGCTCGCCGCCTGTGCGTCGGGCCCTGTCCGGCCTCGGGGCTCGGCAGTGCACGGGGCCTCGGCCCCGCCGCCGCCTGCTCTCTGCGATCTTCCTGCGCCTGCCGGCGGCTAGTGGGGTGGAGCATTCTGGGGGTGAGGGAAGGGTCAGTGTAGTTCACTTGGCTTTCTTCGCCTGGGGCATTGTTTTACCACTCGTCGCAGGTTCTCTTGGCATGGTCAAGGCAGCTTCTCGTAGTCCCCCCGCCTGGGCATTTTTTTCATCTCAGATGATTTCTCATCAGTTCTTCCTTGGGCTACCTTGACCCCCAGGAAGTGTGAGCCCTTTACGGCGAATGAGATTGTGGCCGCGCTGGCTGCAGGACGAGAGATTGATTCGACCGTACCCCAGGAGAGGCTCGGGGGTTCGTGGAGTGGCGGTATTGGTATCTTTCCGTTGCGCGTGACGTCTTGTCGGGCAGGCCCAGGGCAAGGACACACACACATATCTATCTATCTCTATATATACATATATGTATACACATATTTATGTGCATATATATATATATATATATATATATATATATATATATCGCTCCGGATTGCTCCGTAGCGCTCTCTCAGAAGCGTTCCCTAAAAGCGCTGGGCAGCGGTCGTGGCGCCCGATACGTCTTACGAGCCCGCCTCGTCCCAGAGATCACGAGTTCTCCCTGCCCGGCCTGACAGCGCGCGCAAGGAGGTTCTGCGGGGGGGGGGGGGCGATGTTCTCAGAAGGCAGGGGGCCTCTTAGAAGCCCTCCGTGCTTCGAGATGCCTTCTTAGATGCCTCTGGGCCCTTCCAAGAGGGCCACTGCCTTCTGAGAAGCCCCCCACGCCGCTGGGGGCGGGGGGCCCCCGCCTCCTCAGAATGCCATCAACCCCGCGCGCCGCTAATATACTCTCTGCTCCTGTCCCACCTTCAGTTCTCCCATGAGCCCCGATACCAGGCCTCCCACATGGTTCCTGAGCAGATGGCGTCGGAGGATCGGCGAGGCATCGGCGATGCATTGGTGATGCATTGGCGATGCGGATCGATCCTCCCGCCCCATCGTCTCGACCCCATTTGGGAGGCCTCTATCGGAGAATCGTAAGACTCGAGTGTGCCGGAGCTCGGGTTAGCCGACGCTTTTCGACGAGGGCGTCCCGGATTTTGACGATCCAGTTTCAGATCTGGTCTCGTCATTTTCATGATGGCCCCGTCAGGCCAACCCGAGTCCCCTGATCTCGAGGCTTACGTCCCCCCGACTCCTATCAAGGCCGCCGACGTAGACACCCTCTACTACCACCGCGGGGTCCACAGAGCGCTCTTCCGGGAGCCCCGGGAGGGGTGGGCGCGCGCCCCGCCCGCCTCTCCAGGAGGGGCCCTCCCCGAGCTGCCGCGCCCAGGGCGCCTCGGCACCATGTCCCCGCTCGCACTCGCACTCGCACCCCGCCACCCCCCCTGCCTCCAGCGTCTCTGCGCCTCTCCTCCCCTCCGCGCTCCTTCCCCCGCCCTCTCTCTCTTTTTCTTTCTCTCCCTCCTGCTCACCCGCCACCTCCTCCTCCTCCTCCTCCTCCTCCTCCTCTTGTGCACGCAGCTCCCCCTTTTCCGATTGCGCGTGCCACGAAGTGGTCTTTCCGTTGGAGTCGCAGTTCGGCTATGACATTCGCCCGCGGATCATGAAAACTCAGCGCCATGGGAAGGGACGGGAGGGAGAGAAAGGATGTCAGATGAGGCGGAGGCGCACCTGGCTTGCCTCAAGCCTCTCGCCTCCTCCCTCCTCTCCTTCCTTCCTCCCCCCTCTTCCCTCCCCCCCGTCCCCCCTAAAGAGGCCCTTCTGGGCTCCAAAAGGGGCCTCCAGGGCCCGAGGGAGGCAAAGACCTTTCCCTCCTCCCCTCCCCCTTTGCATCGCCCCCCCCCTCCCCCCCATGACAGCGACGCCCAGCGGCGGCGATCTGGGAAACGCCCTCCCCGCCCCCGGCACGCCACGGGCGCGGGCCGGGGCGCGCCTGCCCCCGCCGCGGGGGTCCCGACCCTCGCGCTGCCGGCGGAGCTGCGCCGCCTGCTGGAGGCGCCGGCGCCGCCGGCAGAGGCAGCGGGGCCTTCGGGGGCGGGGGGCCGGGCGACGCTCGAGGGGGGAGGAGAGGCGCCTCGAGGGCGGGGGGGGGCTGTGAGGGGAGGGGAGGGGAGGGGAGGGGGGGAGGGGGGGATTGTAAGGGGAGGGAGGAGGGAGGGGAGGGGAGGGAGGGAGGGGAGGGGAGGGAGGGAGGGGAGGCGCCTCGAAGGGGAGGGGAGGGGAGGGGAGGGGAAGGATGGGAGGGGAGGAGGAGGAGATGGACATGGGCAAGCCGCGGAGCGAGGGGTATCATGAGGAGGCCAGGCCTTTGGCGCAGGGGAGGGGAGATGCAGGGCGAAACGGAGGGAGGTCGGGCTAGGCGGGGAGGTCAGGGGAGGAGGGATGGGGAAGAGGAATGGACCCTCTCCCCTTCACGTCGCGAACAGATGACGACTGGAGGCTTTCACACATTTTCGGCCTTTGGGCGGGTCGAACAACAATTATTTTGCTTCGAGCGATCCCCACCGAAACCTGCGGCGTTTGGTCCCAACGGCGCGCGCGCCTACTGGAAAGATGTGCGCAGTGCCCGGAAGCGTCCCCCGCCCCTCCTTCACCCTCCCGCGGGCGCAGTGCTACTTGGCAGGGCCTAGCATACCTGCGAGCCCTCTGCCCAGCACTGCATGAAACAGAAGCCCGAGGGGGCTGCCATGCAAGTGAACTCGCCGGAATCAAAACAAAAGGGCTCTAGATGTTTGTCTGTCCTGGGACTCGAGCAGGGCCTCTGGAACCAGAAAAACACCAGCAGATTTCCCCGAACCTTGGACCAAAAGAAGGGGGGGAGTCCTCCCTCCCCTCGGGCCGATCCCGGCGACCCGAACCTCGGAATAAGTGGCGGCCATGCGTTGAATGGGCCCCCGGAAAATTGGTCAAGAGGGGGGGGAGAAGAATTGCATTCAAAGTCTGTCCCTGGACCCCTCCCAGGGCCCCTCCGACGCAGTTTTTGGCCCCGAAGAGGAGGAAGAGGATGAGGGGGCGGAGTGGCGCGACGATGATTGCGGGGTGAAGCTGGACAGACAACGAAGTGGACCTTCCAATGAAAGTACCTCGGCACGGCTGACGTGCAGGTCGAGAAACAGGAAGACATTGTGCAGTGGTAGCTGGCGTATACGTAGTATTGTATTACGTTATGTTCGATTCGTTCCTGCCCTAATGTCGGTATGCTCTGCTGTCGTGTTATGATATGATCTGTAATACTGTGTCATGTGATGGCCTGTTCTGCCGTGATGCTCCTCTCCACGACTGCCGCTGCTGTATTCAAAAGCGTTGGACAGTATTACATGGAGTAGCTCTCTAACATATTCTGCTCTATTATGTCCAGTTGTGTTCTCGACGGGCCGGCGTGACGTCGTGACGCCTGGGCGACACCGTCGAGTTGTGGCTACTGTATTTGGTACGCGATGTTGTGCTAAAGTGTGTGTGGGGGGTAGGATGTAGATTATGACGCTGTGTTCTGTGATATTATGATATCGACGGGCCTGCGTGACGTCGTGACGCCTGTCACGCTAGAGACATCGTCGTATCGCTCATTGATGTGACTCTTGATTCCTGTGGCGACGATGACCAAACTGCACGTACGGTGTATTATGTCACGATGTCCCTCTGCCCTTCGGGTATCTCATTCATGACAGTATGCTCTGTCGTGCATGCTTCTGGTTCAGTATGCTTTGGTGCGTTATGTTATACTCTACCCTTTGGCACCATGTTAGGGGATGATGTGCTCTCTCAGCTTATGTTATGATATGATGTGTTCCGTGATGGTGTTGCCAGCTCGGCTCGATATAGTAAGTATGATATGATATACTAGTATGTTTTGCTATGTCCTGTTCTGTCGTGCTACTCCCCTCCTCCACTACACTACTGCCGTCTCTGTCTTCAAAAACGGTTCAACCGTGTTCCATGTAGTAACGGTCTTTCATGTTATGCTGTATGATTTCCTCTTCTGTTGTCGACGGGGTGGCGTGACGTCGTGA